CCAAGGTCACACATTAATAAAAGTATCATATAAAAAACATTTTACAAACTAAAGGTTACCCAGCCTTCACATTTCTAACACTTTACTAGTTGTCTCTTTAAAAATACTGTCTCTTTTAAAATCCAAATAATTCTCTGTAAAATTCCAGTAATTCCAAAATACTTTTTTTAGTCTAAAAATCTCCCAGCTGTGGGCTCCTATAAAAAAAAAAAATCAAAACTAAACGAAGTATTTTCTTACATCTGAGGGAATAACCAGATCACAGTCACAATCTGAACAAAGCAAAGCCAAACTCCAACTAAGTAGCATTGTGAAGGGAGTTACCTGGGACCCACTCAGTCTTCTGGGCTCCTGCACAGGGTCTCCAGCTCTGCCCCCTGAAGCACACTCAGCTTGTCTCCTAGGCTCAGGGCGGCTCCATTCCTCTGCTGCTCTTCTTGGTAGTTGCCCCATGGTACTGGTATCTCAAAAATGCTGGGGTCTTATGCTGCAACTGGGCTGTATTTTCAGGGGCAGCCTCTCCCTGGGCTCTCTTCAGGGACTCCAAGCCCTGCTGCTCAGTGCCAAGCCTCAGCTGCTCTCCATGATCCCTTCACACCTTTAAAACCAGCAGCACCTGGGTGAGTCTTACACTACCAAGTTCAGCTGCCAACGGGAGCTACAACTGTGGCCACTTCTGGACTGACCACAGCTTCTTCGTGCTGATCCAGAAGAAACACTTCTCAGAAGATGTCACCTCAGTGATGCTGGCCTCTTCTTAATCACAACGGACTCTTCGCTCTAGCTGACCAGACACCAGATTTTTTTTTTTTTTTTTTGTTTTGTTTTGTTATGGTTTGGTTTTTCAAGACAGTTTCTCTGTGTAGCTCTGGCTGTCCTGTAACTTGATCTGTAGACCAGGCTGGCCTTGAACTCAGAGGTCCACCTGTCTCTGCCTCCCGTGTGCTGGGATTAAAAGCATGTGCCACCCCACCTGGCTCCAGAACTACAGAATCTTAATACAAATATCCCAGTAGAGTCTGTTTCCCTCTGAAACTTCACAAGCCAGGTTCTATCATCTGTGCTGCTCTCAACATTCTTATCTTCCAAGGTCCCACAGAACACTTCACTGAGTCCTCAACACTCAATAGCTTTTCTAGCCCTAAAATTCCAAAGTCCTTCCACAATCCTCCCCAAAACTACAGTCAGGTCTGTCATAGCAATATCCATTATCGCGGTACCAACTTGGCTCAGTTAGGTTTACTATTTAGTGATGAAACACCATGACCTAAGCAACTTGTGGAGGAAAGGGCTTATGGGGCTTACACTTCCATATCTCTGTTTATCACTGAAGGAAGTCAGAGCAGGAACACAAGCAGGGCAAACCCCAGAGGCAGGAGCTGCTTACTGGCCTGATCCACGTGGCTTATTTAGCTTGCTTTCTTATAGAACCCAGGACCACGTGCCTAGGGTGGATCCACCTACAAAGGGCTGGGCTCTCCTCTATCAATCACTAATTAATAAAATGCCCTGCAGGCTTGCCATTCACCTGATCTTATAAAGGCATTTTCTCAACTGCTTCCCTCCTCTCAGATGACTCTAGTGTGTGCCAGGCTTACAAAAAACTACCCAGAACAGTTCTCAAAGTAAAAGAAAATATAAGCAACAGGTGTGGGGGTGGCAGAAATGAAAAGACAAATGCTCCGGAATTGAGGCTACATGTCATGCATGGCTCCATGTGACAGCTTGATGTGCCACAAGCCTGGCCAGGACTGAGTGCGACGTTTCAATTGCAGGATTTTCTTTAGGGACACATCACTAGGCAATATATATCTCTGAGGATCTCAAAATGATCACCTGTATTTATTGTTTCTAACTATATGGTTTTTATAAACCATATAAAATGGGGTAAATGGAGATGATAATGCTGAGGTCTGAGTGGGTCTGGATTAAAAAAAAATCTTAAAACACAGATCTTAACTACAAAAAATAAGGATGATAAGGGACTTGCTTCCTACAAACAACACTATTCCTTGGCCACAATACAACTATCATATCAGGAGAGCAATACCCTTACTTTCTGCTGTCTCATCCTGACCTCATTGATGACCTTTATACAAATAGATCTACCCAGAACAATACTTGTCGATTTGTTTCAGATCCTTTGTCTCCACTCTAGGAGTTTCCATCTTTCATGGCCTTGGTGCTTTGGGAGATTATGAGCAGTGATTTTGGATAATCAACTCAATACTTGGTGAACTGACTTGACGACTGATTTTGCACCCAGGTCTAGCTATGTTTCTGTTAGGCATATCTCAGGACCTGTGCTACGTTGTTTCTGTCACACCCTATCAGGTGGAGCATGGTTCTTTTCATTTGTTCACTCAACATTGATGTCAACTTCAATCTTGACTAAGGCTTTCAAGTTTGCAAAGACTACTAAAGGTTCTCTTTTTGTCTTATTAACAAGGGGGGCTTCTGAGACTGCAAATACTCTATTCATCAAAAGTGAAGTTCATTTTTTAAAATGTATTTTTCTGTGAATGGGTGTTCTACCTGCATGTCTGTGTTCCAGGAGCATGCATTGCTCTTGGAAGTCAGAAGAGGCCATCAGATCATCTGGGGCTGGAGTCACAGGTGGCTATAGTGGCCATGTGGGCAAAGGAAACTGTAGCACAAATAATAAAAACCCAGTGACAGATATGGGGATTCAAGCTGAAGATCAGAGAAGCAAAGTGGCCAGCCACTAGAGAGTTGTCACCTCTACCAATGCTCAGACCAAAGGGGCTATCCACCAAACCTCAGACTGCACTGAGCTCCTGTCTCCTCCCGCCTTACATTCCTCTCTAGTGCTGGAATTAAAGGCTTGGCATTACAAGTGCTGAGATCACTTTTGTGTGAGCTCTGTTTCTCTTTTAGACTGAATCAATTTCATGTAGCCCAGGGTGGCCTTGAACTCACAAAGATCCATCTGCCTCTGCCTCCCAAGTGCTGGGATTAAAGGTGTGTAGGTGGCGTCTATGGAGAGTAGTGTGGGTAGCTTTGCAGTTTGATCTTCAGGCAAGCTTTATTTGTTAAATCATAAACAAAGTATCTCCACAGGGAACTGAACCCAGCCTCAGGAGGGCCTGGGCCATCTCTCCAGTCCCCACAATTCATTTTTAAAAATAAAGTCATATCTTATTCTGTGAAATGTAATCTAACATTGTGATGCTCAGGATGGCCAAAAGTTCTTTCAATTCACACATTAAAATTTTTAAGTTTTAGCCAAGCCGTGATGGTGCACACCCTTATTCCCAGCACTTGGGAAGCAGAGGCAGGCAGATCTCTGAGTTCAAGGCCAGCCTGCTCTACAGAGCAAGCACCAGGACAGGACAGACTCCAAAGAAAGCTACAGAGAAACCCTGTCTTAAAAAAAAAAAAAAAAAGTAAAGGTTAAAGTAACATCTGTAGGAATGGTGAGATGGCTTAGTGAGCCAAAATTTTGCAGAGAAGTTCCAGACCAGACAGGGTTTAGTAAAAGCCTACCTTTAACTCTTGGCATGGGATTATTGTAAATGAAACAATGTGTTAAATAGTCTTTTTCTGGTTGTACTGAAAGAAGTCTAATTGAAACTAATTTAAGAGAAAAAGGAAAAGTACTGGCCTAAATATTAAAAAACAAAACAAACAAACAAACAAACAAAAAACAAAACAAAAAACCCCAACCTACCCCAGAACAGACCGAAAAGCCGCCAGATGGAGGTCCTTTCCACTTCTCACCATTTCACCATTGCTTGTGGCCCAGACGTTTGTCACTCTGCTGCAGAATTTCTGTCTGGGCACTCTGTTGCAGAATTTCAGGCTTGCCTCATCTTCAAGCAGTGATGCTATTAGAGAACATCTTCAGAAAGTTCTCATAATTTCAGATCTGCCTGCTTGAGTCACACACTGCTTGGAAACAAACCATTTTGTCCTGTTTGAACATCATGATCAAGAATGAAAAGGTTGGCTGGGTGATGGTGGAACACACCTTTAGTCCCAGCACTTGGGAGGCAGAGGCAGGAGGATCTCTGTGAGTGTGAGGCCAGCCTGGTCTACAAGAGTTCTAGGACAGGCCCCAAAGAAAGCTACACAGAGAAACCCTGTCTCGAAAAACCACAGAATGAAAAGGTGGCCGGAGTGATGGCCCAGGGGTTGAGTTGTGCCCAAAGCTCTTGCAGGGGTTGGTCTCCAGCACCCACAGCCTCTATGAGTATTCTCATACACATAGCACACATGATGTATGGACATAAACACACACAGAAAACAAAGATGAAAGGGTGCTGGGTGCTTTCCAAAGGAGAATCAGGATACTGTTCCCAGAAAAGGGGAACTAAAAGGCAGAAATAAAAGCTTCTGCTTATTCAGGGACAATTTATGTATCTTAACTGATTAAGGAAAAGATTGGTATCTTTTCCTATCCAAAGTAGCCAATGTGCTTTGTGCAAGTATTTGAACTTAAGGGAGAGGGAAAAAGAGTTATCAGATCTCTTTGATATAATCTCTCCCCCCTCAGACTATTGCATACCATAATAAACTTTTCCAAGCATATGGAATAATCTTAAAGAACGATGTGCTCGCTCACTCTCTGTAGGTTAAAAGTTTGAGATCATGCCTGCTCTTCCATGATCTCATCTTTCCACTTACGTTGCTCCCCTGTATAAATCAGTGCTTTTTAAGGCTTGTCAAGGATCTACAAGAATGTAACATTTACTAAGTCAGCCAGGGATATAGACACTCAATTTGTAATGTTTTCTTTTAGGACTAAGAATATAGTAAAATAATAAATATTAAGCATGTCTCTCAATATACAATGGTTTTTCATCTAAGCCAACTTGCCACTAGACCAAGTTTATTCTTCTAAAATGGTAAACTCTTCATTATATAGTATTATGAGACAAATGGTCTTTCTGTAATGGGAAAACATGTCTGGTGGTCATCCTTTCTTTACCCATGAAAAAACTTACAGTATGCTACTGCCAGTGTCGGGTTTCAACGACTTAGCTCAAAAATTGTAGTTTTATTTGAACAGAGAAATGGAGTTTTAACAGGTGTCAGTCTCCTTGTTGGAGTATATAAAACATCTTTCCATTCTCAGTTGACAGATTTATTTATACATAGTAACTTGCAAAATACAAACTTACAAAATAAAGTGACATCTTCTAAACAACAAAGAATTAAACATGAGTGAAATTACTGCCTTTTTAAAAATCCAGGGCATCAATTCCGGGGCCTTGTGCATGTTAGGCAAGAACTATATTATTGAGCCTTATCTCTAACCTGGAAATCACTTTTACAATAAACTGAAAGGTGAATTAAATGCAGGAATACATCACTATCTTTATTTTTATTTAAGCCAAGTATGGTGTGGATCAAAAAGTTATTTAGACAACATGCATTATCTGTATGTTGTATTTTAACGCAAATTTCAGAACATATATCATTTTTTTTCTACTTCCAAAATTCATGTATTTTAACTTAAAAGGCAGCATTTACAAAATAGTTTCTGCAACAAGAGCAACACAACAAACTGGACATGGGGTCAGCTGTGTGCCTCTGGTTCTAACACGCGGGAGGCTGAGACAGGAGAATCACAGGAGTTCCAAAGCAGCCTGGGCAACAAGAGTGGGACCTTGTCTCAACAAAAACAATAACCCTTCCCCCAACCCAAAATTCAACCCCTCAAACAAAAGCAGAACATAATAAAATCAAAAACCTCTGGGCTGGAGAGATGGAGATGGCTCAGTTTTCAGACCCAAGTTCGATGCCCAGAACTCACATGGTGGCGGAACCCATCTGTAACTCAGTTCCAGGGGTCCCACGCTTCCTTATGGCTGTCTCTGTGGGTACCAGGCACCCACTTGGTGCACTGACTCACATGTAGGAAAGACACCCATTTGGATAAAATAAATAGTTAACACAAAAGCAAGAAAAAAATCTCAAAAGCAACATCAGCAGAGTTATTTTTAATGGTTATAATGAAGCCAATTTTCTTCACAAAGAATCTACAGGAAGATTTAACACTGTATGATTCTTGAGTACAACCAACAAAGTGCTACAGATTAGGAACTATCTCACAAGTCCCACCAAGCACCAAAGCTGAAAGAAGTAGCTTTAGACCTCACAAATTTTGAAGATACACTTAAAACACCCATTTTGCTTTCTTAAAGCAAGTTCCAGGGAACAGAATGCTCTCTGCTTCCATGGAATTCCAGATCCCGGCAATCATTAGTCCTCCTCTTTCTCAATGTAAGTCTTTGCATTAATCCGTGCCATCTGCCTGGCCAAGTACCTGTCTCTAGCTGACATCACAGTTTCTTCATTGCTCCGCTTTGCAAACTTGCTCAAAGCCTCAGGGGGCCTCGCTTGCTCACCGCCCGTCTCCTGCCTTTCCTCTGTCAGTCTGTGTTTTGTTGCTAGTGATGTTTCAGAATGAGAGGGCTTCTCTTGGTCCCCACGGTCCTTTTCCATGCTTCTTATTTTGTTGGATCTTTCCTGGTCAAGAAACTCATCCTTTGGTCTAGATCTTGGGCTGCTTTCCCTCCTGTCTCGATTTCTTTCTTGTTTTTCCTTCTCTCTGTATTTACCGTTACTTTCATGCCTTTCCTTTCTTCCTTTCACATGCTCCTCTTTTTCTTTGCTTTGCTTTGCTTTCTCACTGTGTCGGTCGTGGTCATTGTGCTGTCTGTTTTTCTCTTGTTCTCTAGAGGAGTATTTGTCCCTCCTCCAGTCTCTGTCCTGTCTTTCTCTCTGTCCTCGTACCCTCAGGTTATCTTCTTGCTCATGCCTCTTCCGGTAGTGATCTTTATGATCGGTTTCTCTGTGCCTGGGAGAACTCTTTTCTTTCCGGTGGCCGTGGTCCGTGTGACAGCTCTCCTGGTCTCTGGCCTGCCTGTCCTGGTGTTGACCTCCCTTCTGCTCATGTCCTCTTGACTTGGGACTCCTGGAATGGTGCTTGGCACCATGTCCTCTCTCTTCACTAGACGACCGCGAGCGGGTCTGATTCTTGTGATGCTTGGGGTACTTCTTGGAGGCTTCCGCGTCTTCTTCCCTTCTGTGGTTTACTTCATTTTCTCCCCTTTCATCATCGTCACTACTCTTAGTGTCAAAATCGCTGTCAGCATCTGGGTTTCCCTCCTCTTCACCAGGTTGGAGAAGGCCCTTCTGTTGCCGTCTGTCCTCTGAATTTGCCTCATCAGAGTAACCCCTGGGCTGCTCTTCCTTTATTCTAGTCCTAAAAAAGGAAAAAAAGAAAAATCATGTAAATATAAAATACTACTTTGTTAATTGTCGAAAGCAAAGGAATTCTCATTTGAATTTTCTCAACACTTTACAACTAAGTATGTCCTGTTTGATCATGCCATGCAGAAGTGATGTCTATTTATCTTTCCAATTAGTACTTTCAAACAGTTGAGAACATTTTAATATTGATAAAAGTAAAATAAAGAATACAGTCCTTCTCTCTAAGGTCACTACAACCTTTAGGAAAGGGTCTGTACAAGGTCTCATTTTTCTTTCTAGTTCTAGACAAAGAATAATTGGGGAAAGTAAGGAATGTCATGGCTCTAAGTTCTATTTTCACAACATGAAGTTCAAGTTGTGATTATTAGATTTTTTTTCATTTTGTTCTTTAAAGTCCTAGAAATATATGAGGATAATCTCCAACAGAAAACAGTACCAAACCTAATTCTAAACATTACTAATTAAACTTTTCCAAGACTAGAAAGGCATTGTGGACTTGATATAGTGTATCTCAGTGCCCATCACAACAGAAAAGAAACTGCTCAATCTTCCTGACTGTTGCCATCAGCGACCCTAAAATTATATCACTACACTTTTCCAGCTGGGTGATTAACTCATTGATAACACTCACACATCATTGTTCCTAGTCCTGGAGGACTGGATGGAGTTAAGCATGCTAGTCAAGTGTTCTAAAATATCCATGTCCTCTGCAAATTCCCATTTACATTTAGCTATACTGTACATATGACATAATTACCTTACCATTCCTATAATATGTTAAAATTTTATCTAAGAGTCTTCTAATCCTTTGCTTTTACCAGGTCAGAGATGGATAACGAAAATGTCTATAGAAATAATAACTACATTTGAGCTGTTTGGTATGGCAGTCATTAGCCAAAAAGAGCAACACAGTACTTGAAATGTAGAATTAAGATTAAAATTTTAGATTTTCTTTACTTTTAAGTTATCAGAATACTCAACCTGTGACTCCTGCTGATATTAGACAAGGTAGTTTCAGGCTCTGATAGTGAATATGACCTTTAAGGAGGCTGGGTTCTACTCAAGAAAATGAGCCACGTTCATATTTTATGCTATCTAACGATCATGTAGGGTCACGGGCTGTATGACCAATCCATCACCAATCTCTCCCACTTCTTGCAGTTACTGTTCTCAAGCACCAGGGCTGTAAATGTTTTTAGTTGACCACACTTTTGTTTGGTTCCTCCTTTAAGCTATATATATCCTATCAAGCACTTACATATTCAGAAACATTTGTACACTAAAATGTTTTGATATAAAATAATAATTCTTTATGAGCTGTAAAATAAAAACCACACTAAACAGAATCTTTAGGCTTTTAAGTTAGGAAACTGCAAACTCCACTCACTCGCCCAATTAGATCATTTTGGCTGGCAACACAATAAATACCCAATGCTGTACCCTTCTACTCAAGGGTTTAAAATGACCGTCAGACTGCATAACCAGACTGTCAAGGGTATCTTTTTTCTAACCATCCCACTTGCCACCTCTTACCTGGCTTCACGGAAGCTGGACTTAGGAACTGCCTCTTCACCAACTGCTTGATTTAACAGGTGCCTATAAAATCCACTAAGATCTTTCTGCTTGGTCACATCCAATTGTGCTGGGGGGAAGCAAAGACAAACTGAGAATACGGATTCAGCAAAGCATAGAGCAGCTTCATTTTACACATGCAGGAAGATATGTCATACATGACCAGGTTCAATGTTTTTAACCGATTTGTGTGTCTCTGCACATGCATGTGGAGGTCACTGGATAACCTGTGGGAGCTGGTTCTCTCTTGCCATCATGTAGGCCCGAGGGATCAAACTCAGGTTGTCGGGTTTGGTGGCAAGCTCCCATACCTGCTGAGCCATCTCCCTGGCTCAGATACAACCTTACAGATTTAGTTTTCTTTCACTTGAAATCGAAGAGAACTTGCCAATTAAATTCGTGATAGTACACATCATAGTTTGACCTTGAGAAACTGACCATGAGAGCACTCAATTCAATGGCTAAGATATTCCTTAACCTCTGATGATTAATGACATTCTTTTTCTAACTGACCAGTTAATATTCCTTGAGTGGTGTTAAACATTTTCTCATTTAGAATATGGAATTAAGATTTTAAAATGTATTTATGTTTCTGGCAAATGTAATGTTGTTATGCCTTGCAAACGTTTTTACATCTGGAATTTCTAAGACAATGGCTTGTAATGATCATAGTTTAAGTAATAAAGTGAGAACTAAATGAAAAGCCCCAAAGGAGTAACAGTTACTTAAGGGTTCGGCTGTGTCTGGTTTAACACTGCCGTTCACTGACACATAGGCTGTATGTCGTACCCTCCTCCTTTTACCTTCCAGGGCAGCCGCCCTCTTTTCCCTTTCCTCCTCTTCAGCTCTTTCTTCAAGTTTTTTTTTATAAGCAGATGTCACAAATGCCTCTTTGTCATCAAATTCTCCCTTTTCCATCTCTCGTTCTCTTTGTATTTTCTTTTCCATTCTTTTTTCCTGTTCCTTTTTTCTGATCTCCACTGCTTTTAGTAAATTGTGGATATATTTGGGCTAGGGAAAAATAATTTTAAAAAGAGGAAACAATGTCGCATCCGTTAATATAGAAATATTAAATCTAAATAGCGTGTCTTTACAAAACTCAGAATAAATTTGCTAGTGAAACTACTACTGAAATGGTTTCTACTATAAATTGAAGTGTAGTAGAGGGAATGGTGGCACATACTTGTAATCCTAGCCCTGGGAGTCAAAGGCAGGACAGTCATACCAAGTTCAAAGTCAGTCAGTCTAATAGCCAGTTCAAGGCAGATGAGAGCTAAAGAAACCTGCCCCAACCCCACGAGGTGCACAGTCCAGACTGGCCTCAGACTCTTGGCAATACTCCCGCCTCAGCTTCCTCAGTGCCATCACGTTTAGTTCCCAGCTCCTACTTTTCTTTTTACTTTGTTTTATTGAGATAGTGCATGACACAGTACAAGCTGGCCTTGAACTTGCTATATATCCAAGGATGGCTCTCACCTTTGGACCCTCCTGCCTTAGTCTCCCAATGGTATATGCCACCATGCCTGGTTCCAAAAAAATTATTTTCTGAAACAGGATCTTATTATGTTAACCCTGGCTGTCCATGAACTTGTACCTACCTGCCTCTCAAGTACTGGGATTTAAAGTCCACCATGCCTGGCTATTTGATAGTCTTAATTCAACAAATGAATGAATCAGAAAACAAACCAGGAACAGTTTAAATCTAGTATACAGAATTGCTAAAGAAAAACTTCCAAAAATTATTTTCAAATATTTCAAGGTAAAAAAAAAAAATACCGAATAATTCAGTTGATATCTGCTAAGGTCTAGATTCTAAAAAGCTGTATTTTAGCTACTAACCTTTCGGTCTTTCCCCAGAAGCAGTTTAGGATTACTTTCTTCCTTTTTTTTCTGCATTTCATCATAAATGCTGTCATATTCATACACTGTAGAATCTTCTGCAAGAGCTTTCTGAATTTCCAGTTTTGTCTTTAAAAAAAAAAAGGAAAAGGTTTAAAGAATATGCACCAGCCAACAAATACCACTAAAAATGTCTCCCTCCTCCCCAAACCTAGAAAGGTTCATACATTAGAAATGTGTCATAGAAACTGTACAATCACATTTCAAGATGGGAACATGAATATGAACTCTACAGCAGACCACCTGGGTTTAAAACCTGGCTCCATAAGCTTTGAGCAATTTGTGTGTTTTAATTTTCCTCACCTAGAAGAATGTTTATTATATTTGTCTTCTAAGTTGTGATAACACAGGAAGTAAGTGCTCAATAAACACTATGACATCTTGAATTATATACAATTATCCACATCAAAAATTTAAAAAGTCATAGGCACGACTGAGCAACATGCAGCCCTGGCTTTTTATGTTATGCTTAATAAACTAGGTTTCCTAACAAATTGAAAAAAATTAAAGTTCCTAACATTAAAAAAAAAAAAATCCAAACAAGCAATAAATGGGAGCCACATTATTATTAATTTTTACATTACCAATCATACAATGACTATGCTTATATCATGTTTGTATCTTGTTCTTCCTCTTATGGCATATCAAAATCTTATCCAGAGGATGGAACAATGCTCAGGCGTTAAGAGCACTGGCTACTCTTACAGTGACTTTGGTTCTATTCCTAGCGTGTGCCATATGTTGGCTCACAATCATACAGTAACTCCAGTTCAGGAGATCTGATGGTCTTCCAGCTTCTGAGGACTTCAGGCAGACAAGTAGTACACATACATGGACACATACATACACACAGGTAAACTTATACATATGAATAAATCTTTTAAAAAAAGAAACTTAACGAATATCAGAGCTAGCTCAACCCCTACCTTTCAAATGAGGCCATCTCTGAGAAATTTAACTACCAACATTGTGTTCGAGTCTGATAAAACACTGTACAGGGCGGTATTTGACTTTCTTTTTTAGATTTATTTTGCTTATATGCATGTCTGCGCACTACATAGTGCCCGGCAGGCCAGAAGAGGGAGCCCAATTCCCTACAACAATAATGAATATGTGGTTGTGAGCATCCATGTGTATTGGACCAGACCCTGGCCTTCTGTAAGAATAGCCAGTACTCTGAACTGCCAACTCTCTAGCCCCTGAACTCCTAATAGTATGTTTAATGTTACCACCTTTTTACTGCTCCACAATTATAATTTTTTGATTCAACTCATTAGCTTCTGAAATGTAGAGCTGTACATATTTATTTTTTCTTGAACTGCTATACTGACTTGTTTAATACAGATGTTAAGAGTGGTCCTTTTTAAGGAAGAGAGATATAATTATTCAGAAGAACCTATATGGTTGTCTTCAGGTTTCTTTGAAGCACTAAGGATTGAACCCCAAGGCCATATACAAGACAAACAAATCCACCACCACTGAGCTACAGCCTCAGTCTTTCCTACATTTCTACAATAAACCTTAAGAATCTAGAATAATGTACATATAAATGAATAAATTTTATCTGCAATATTGTTGAAAATACCAAGAATCCTACACCCTGAACCTCTCAATATTCAGAAAATGAATGATAGTGAACTGCTGCTCCCTCCACAAGCTAGCCAGGAGAATCCAAACCCTACAACACAACATTTGGAAGTGGTGGCACATGTAATCACAATATTTGGGAGTGGAGGCAGGAGAATTGGAGTTCAAGAACAGGGTTGGCTACGTAGTGAGTTTCAGGCTAGCCAGGACTATAAAAAGACCCTGTCTCAAAAAAGCAACAAAAGACAGGAGTGCTCTGAGGTAAATAAATCGCTTTAAAGACTTATATCAGGGCCAGGTAGTGGTGGCACACACCTTTATTCCCAGTACTCGGAGACAGAGACAAGCAAATGTGAATTTGAGGCTAGCCTAGCCTACAGAGAATTCAAGGCTAGCCTGGTCTACAAAGAGTCCCTAGACAGGCTCCAAAGCTACACAAAGAAACTGTCTCAAAAACCAAAACAACAACAAAAATTATATTGGTGGGGGTGGGGAGTAGTGAGGGCTGGGGGCTAAAGAGATGGCTCAGGGGTTAAGAGCACTGGCTGCTCTTCCAGAGGACCTGGGTTCACTTCCCAGCACCCATATGGCAGCTCTCAACTGTCTACAACTCCATTTCCAGAGTACCCAACACCCTCACACAGATAGCTATACATGCAGGCAAAACACCAAAGCACATAAAAATACAAAAAAAGAAAAGGGGAGAGAGAGAGAGAGAGAGAGAGAGAGAGAGAGAGAGAGAGAGAGAGAGAGAGAGAGACCAAACAAACGAACAAACGAACCAAACAGGAATTATATCAAGAGGAGCTGGAGAGACATCTCAGTGGTTAGGGGTGCACACTGTTCTTGCAGAAGACCCCTGCTTAGTTCCCAGTTCCTACATTTGGCAGCTCACAACCACCCATCACTCCAGCTCCAGAGGTCAAATGGTCCTGGCTTCCTTAGGTATTTATAGCACCCAAGGATATGCATATATCCACATACAGATATTCTCAGTCAAACATAATTAAAAGTAATAAAAATAAAGCCAGACAATTAATTTGTCTCTTACAATGCTCCTATAGAAATTTAGAAAAAGCTGGCAATAATACCATATTATAAGTCTTGAGGACAACGACAGTCATTAAGGTCCCTGAAAATGGCTACATTATAAAACTGGATGCATTTTTGTAGGGCTTTTAATTAAAATTTTACTGTAACTAATTCTTAGAACTTAAACTTGAAAAAAGCTGGTAAATTACATAAAAATAACAACAACAAAGTCTCTGAAAAGGAGCAGCTGAAAGGGCTCAGTGACACCTAGCCTGACAACTAAGATGACGGGGAGAGCAGTCCTGGAGGCTAGCTTCTGATCTCCAAACACACCATATCACTCTACAATTTAAAAACAAATGTAGTAACTAAAATAACAAAACAAAACAAAAACAAACAAACAAACCAAAAAAACCCCAAAACCTGATGGGAGATGTCATTCGGTAAACGTTTCTCATACTGGTTAATGAATAAAGCACTGTTGGCCAATAGGAAAGCAAGATAGGCGGGACAAGGAGGAAAAAGGAAGGAAAAAGATAGGAGACAAGGAGGAAAAAGGAAGTAGGAAGGAGGAGTCAAGATGGAGACTGGAGACTGGAGAGAACAGAAGTCTGGGTCCACTCCTCGGTAAGATAAGACCACGTGGAGATTAATAGAAATGGGTTAATACTTAAGACAGAGCTAGCCGATAAGAAACTAGTAACTGGACAACAGCATTATATCAAATACAGAGTCTCGGTGTATTAACTGGGGCTGGCGCCGTAGCAGGACCAGACCAGGCAGTGGGGGAAAAATCATACTCCTTACAAAAACCAAACCAAACCAAACCTGGAAAAAGCAGTATGAGGCAGTGCATGGTAGTATGTATACACATCTATTATCCCAGCACTTGGGAGGCTGAGGCAGGGGCATTAAAAATTCTAGCCCACATGATAGGCAAGACATTAATTCTAAATAAATATACTAAAACAAACACAATGTAGGACAGGAGAAATGGCTCAGCAGCTAAAAGCACTTGATGAGCAAAGCTGACATCCCCTTACTCCCCTCCCTCGCACCACGGGGAGTGGGATGTGGTGGTGCACATCTCTAAGCCCAGTACTGCCACAACAGGGTAGGAGGCAGACACAGGAAACATTGGCAGGAACTAGAGATAAAGCCTAGAAAGACACCCAAGGTGGTGAGGAAGAGGACCAACTTCTGACCTCACACTCGCAGGGGCATGTCTCTCTCTCACTCATGCACACAGGCATGTCTTTAGAAATAAATTCACAAAGTATATATATTACTAACTCATTCAATAAGTGCTAACAATCTTGGCATTAGACTTTTTTCAACTTAGATAATTACACTAAACTGCTGCACTTAATAATGACATACAGCATTTTTCTAGTGAAATAGGTAAAGGACAAACATTTTACCTTCAGTTCTGTATAATTCAGGTCCAAATAAAAAGGAAAAAAAAAAAAAAGACTATCAAAGTATCATTCATTTCCTAGTACATATTTTCTTTACAATTTAGTAAATGCTATCAAACTTCATGATAAAGTTAGTTTGGAATTAAAGCAGCAGAGGTAAAAGTGGGAACAAAAGGAAGCAGAGGCAGTCAAGTGGGGAAAACAGCACGGCAGGAGGGAACGGCGCACTAGGGTAGCTCTCTCAATTTTGCTCTCTGCATTAATCTCTGGACACCAAAATCTGAGATACGCTATTATTCTAAAAGCAGAAATCAGAACATTTTCAGATCTAGTTGTATCAACAAAAGGGCAACTGATACTTTCTTAGTCAGAAGCATGGGTGAGTTCTCGGAATTTTAAAAGGAAATGGATGCCTGGGAAGATGTGCGTAGAGCTACTAGGTGCTCCTAACAAGACCACTGTCAATTGGAACCTTACTACTCCCCACTTCCTGGCAGATGGATTTGAAGTAATTGGGCAATCGCTTTGGCTACGGCTAGAGCTTTTCTTCTGACAAGTTAAGTTCCAAGCAAAATTCAATAAAGAAACAAATTCCAGCAATTCAACAATCTATTACCAGACTCCTGGTCAGTCAAAAGCAAAAAGCTGGTTTCATCTACAGCCTGTAATATAGAGTTAAGTGTATCTTCCTTTAAAATTTATAAAGTCTGCAATCTATTTAAATTGAGAAACATTGTACATTTTAAGAAATGAAATAACTTCATTACACACATTTATTCTGTTCTCCTCTCAGTACTAGGTACCAAGACCCTTGGTAAAACAGGTTTCCCGCTGTCATCCCTACCTGTTTCATGGCCTGCTTCTTAGCGGCTTCCCTCTGAAGGCTCTCACTCACGGAGGTCTGCAAGACAGAAAAATGTCATTGTTTACCTACTTTAAATTCCTTTCCCAGTATTCTGATCAGCAAATGGTTTCTTAAGAGTTAAAAATAAAAAGGTAATATTAATTAACAACAGGGTCTTCCCCCTAAATGTCAGGAGACAAATTCATTTCCATTGTAATGTATCAGAACAGACTCTAAGTTACTAAAAAAAGAAGAAAAAAGAAAAAGAAAAGAAAATCTGGCTATGAATTTTGTACATAATATATCTGAAGTGGTTAATACACAATAATGAGCTATAGACATAGGAGGATCTCCATGAGTTCGAGGCCAGCCTGGTCTACAGAGTGAATTCTAGGACAGCTAGAGCTGTTACCTAGAGATCCTGTCTCAACAAAAAAAAAAAAAAAAAATTAAACCAAACCAAATCACCCCCCACCCCGGCACCAAGCATGCTCGGCATTACAAATATCAAGAAAGTGTGAATTGAAGCTACAAGATACTGCTGCAACCCAGTTGAAATAGCTACCTACTATCTAAGACAAATGCTGCAAGGATGTAAGGAACAGAGTCCTGCCAAGAAGTCACTTGGGGAAACAGGGTGGAGGTTTCAGTGAATCAGAAACAGAACTACAATGTAATCCAGTAATCTTACTATTGGGGATTCAGCCAGACAGAATGGAACCAGAATGTTGGAACACTACCAGAGCGTGGTCAAATGTATTGGTCACTGAATCCAGATTTCCCTGGTAAGCAACACTTTTAATAAAATTCTTGTTTGTCTTTTGAGATAGTCTCTCCACAGTAGCCCTGGTTAGCCTGGATCTTGCCATGTACACCAGGCTGGCCTTGAACTCAATAGATCTGCCTGACCCTGCCTCCTAAATGCTGGGATTAAAGGTGTACACCCTTATATTTTGTCAGATTATCAATTTAAAACATTTATAGGAATAATATGTACTTCCAATGTATTTTACACCTATTTTTCTAATTAGTGCAAATCAAATGGATTTTTATCTTCCTTCCACAAATCAGAGACAGCAACAACAAACCATTAAGGGAAGAAATGGATTTTATACATACAGAAAACAAAAAACCATGATATATAACTACTGTCAACACATCAGCACACAAACAATTCTAATTCTGCCCAAGACCACTTCACAATAAATCTCAAGAGAAAATTGAAAATTCAGTAATGGTACTTTTTTTTTTTTGGTCGAACCACAGATTACCACTCATTTTAAATTTAGGAAGACAAAAATTATTCTCTAAGGAACCTGAAACCTTGCAAATGTTTTAACTCACGGACACTTTAGACAGCATCTAAGTAAGTAGGGTTTTGTTTCTTTTTGTTTCAAATAAAAAATTAGCACCTATTCTACAAGTACCCATCACACAATTCTAAGGGTTAAAGACAAAAGATGATACCGGGCAGTGGTGGCTCACACCTTTAGACCCAGCACTTGGGAGGCAGAGGCAGGTGGATCTCTGTGAGTTTAAGGCCAGTGTGGTCTACAGAGGTACACAGAGAAACCCTGTCTCAAAAAACAAACAAACAAACAAAAAACAAACAGATGTAGTCAAGTATGGTCATTTTATTCTTTGAGAATAAAAATGATTCAATCAACCCAATGTTTGCTACATTGAACTTAGTGAAATCTGGCCTATAAGGGAGACATTTTGGTCACTATTTAGTTGATCTGCCTTCTGGACCATGATGATTCGTGAGAGAAACATCTCTGCAAATGCTGCTGGCTTTCACCAAGAGGCTGTGTAACTAAAACACTTAAGGACACCAAGCCACCATTTATATTAATTTTTTCCCAATCATAATCTTTAGCTGTACTAAAGATTTTCATTTTTATAGATATTAACCTGGTTGTGAGTCTAGCCTTTAATGGTTGAGCCATCTCTCCAGCCTGAGAGTTGTGAAGAATGTGTAAGATTTTTATGAGCTCAGACCAAAGACAAAGCCAATTGTCCTATAGAACACCAAAAGAGGAAGAAATTTTGGCTTAAAATTATTCAAGTTTCTGGTGCCTGGACAGATCAAGCACACAAATTTATTAAATACTGTAATATTTCAGAAGTAGAGAATTAAGATTTCAACTTAATTTTTCAAATGGCTTAATTACTTTAACACTTTTAAATCATCATTTGAGGATCTTGCTGTGTAGAAGACACCATCCTGGGCACTACTGCAAGTAAACAGACACCTAATAAAACATCTCCACTCAGATGCTTATAACATGAAAATGAATATATACACATATACACATACATACATACACACATATATGGTGAGTCACTCCCAAGAAACTAAATTTCAAAAATTATCCAGTTAAAATGTCAGAAACTGCCCACCTTTAATCCAAGCCCCAACACTGGAAAAGCAGAGGCAGGCAGATGTCTGTGTGTTCAAGGCCAGTATGGACTACATAGGGAATCCCAGGCCAGACAGAACTATACAGGGAAACCCTGTTTCATTAAATATGCATTTTCCCCCAGAATATACTAGAAGTGATTTGATAGGACTAAGGTCATTTCTCACTGAGCAACCAAGAATAGAAATAACTGGCTTTCCCTGTGAGGAATTTTGTATGAGCTCCTATTTTGTGCACAACTTTGCTTCTTTTATTCACTCTGTAGTACATACATTTGACTTTGACCTATTTCTGGCTACACACTCTAGATTCACCTATTTTTGGTTACCTGCTTTCTGGTCTTTAAAAAAAAAAAAAAAAAAAAACAGTCATACTGCAGTGTCTCCATCTAGACATAATTTAACTTATTTACAATGCTTAGACTCAGCTGCTATACTATAATTTGTCTTTTATTAGTAGATTACACTTCTGATTTTTACACCCTATTAGCTTGACTTTACATGTTCTAGTTCTGACTTCTGTTTCTGAATTATGTCTTTAATTCTGTTCTTCTGAACAACTGAGGTTTCTCTGCAACCAATACTCCTAAGAACTGGCCCATTACTTTTATCATTGGTTCACCTCATTCACTTGATTGTGATAACCAACATCCCCCTTACTTTAAAATAGTCACCATAAGCCAGGTGCAGGGGATCCAGAGGGAATTGGTTGAATGAATAAGGCATAAAGGTAATCAGGATGATTCCTGACATATACTTCTGGCCTCTACACAATATGTATGTTGTAGTTAACTGAAAATAAGATCTATAATTCAAACTTTCAAATACTATAAGGGTATTTGGGATATGCTAAGTGGTAGAAGACTCACCTAACATGTATCAGGTCCTGGGTCAAACTCTAATACAACAAGTGAAGTAAAACTTAAAAAACTACAAGCTGGACATGGCAGTGCACGCCTTTAATCCCAGCACTTGGGGGGCAGAGGCACGTGGATCTGAGTTCAAAGACGGCCTTCGCTCTAGGGCTACATAGAGAAACCCTATCTCGAAATAAACATACAAAAAAAACCTATCTAGACAAAAATAATATATTATGTATCAATCACAGCATTGTATGTTTAAAGACTAAAGCAAGAGATAATCAGGGATGTAGTAGATAGGGAACTAATAGATAACTTAGGACAAAAGTCATGATTTAGTATGCCTTGGAATGACAGTTGTCAGAAACTACTCAGAAGAAGTCTGCTGTGTGTGTAATGGCGCTTGCCTTTGTTGAAGCAATACCAGACAGACATTTCTACACATTGCATGTGCTAACATCACAAAGGATGTAGTTCTGAAATTACTACCTTACCTGCTTTGTATGAAAATTGCTCTGAGATAAAAGATCATATCAAAAAGTGTGAGCAGCACCCAGGCGCTGGTGGTGAACGCCTTTGATCCCGAGTGCTGGGATCAGAGGCAGGTGGATCTCTGTGAATTCGAGAACAGCCTGGTCTATAGAGCTAGTTCCAGGACTGGCTCCAAACCAATACAGAGAAACCCTGTCTTGAAAAACCAAATGTGAGCAGCATAAAAGGAATGTATAAGATCAGTTTTGGATCATTGCTCATAATGAAAAAAGTACACTTCTCTAATACATATAGTATAAGAACCTGACTAAAGGAAAAAAAAAAAAAAAAAAAAAAAACTCAGACTGTATTTTCTATATCTCACTATATCAACCAAAATAAGCGATGGAAACCCAAATATTTTATAAGTTTAATGAAAACATGTGTGCAGAAAGGTAGCTCTTCCAACTTTCTTTAGCTTACCAATAAAATAAAAATTCTGTGTTTTTTCAGTTAACATACAGTTGTTTTCAAAAGCATCAATATAAACCATGCTGGCAACAGCCAGCACACTCAAAAGAGTCAAAGGTCTTATTATCTTTCCTGTGTGAGCCCAATTTTAATGAAATATACTTGGCAATGTATTTCTCTTTTTAAAGACAAGAAATAGTTTGGGACCCCATAGATAATAGCAATGACCAAGTCAGGTGTGCAGTGTGCCCAGGACAGACTTTATTAGAGTTCTGTTATAAATACAGAGTCTCTTGACACTAAAGATGTAGTTCTTGCAGATAAAGCCGGGAGGCAGGAAATGAATCTCCTCCCAAATGCTGCTTCTTATCTTTAAAGTAACCTCAAATTATTACTAAACTAATAAAGTAATTTTGTTTCAGAAAGTGATCTGATCTATTTTATTTTGAGCTTTTGATAAGTCCAAGAGTGAGATGTGGGATTATTACTTTTTGTCTGACTATAAACACTGAGACATGTCATTAAAAAAAGGGAAAAGCTTTGTAAAAATGATTTTTATGGTAAAGCTGAAATAAGCAATATCAAAGCCTGTCAGTATAGTATATGAAGATGTATACAGTTTTAGACAAATAAAAAAGAACTAATTTTGTTATCTAACTCTGAAAATTAAGAAGGAAAAATTTTACTGGCTTCTATTTAAAAATTGTCAGTTAAATAGGATAAGTTAGAAAGAGGCAATAAGCTTGTATATAAACTCAATAAAACAGTACTAATTCCAAAAAGTAACTATGAATATTAGTTACTTACTTGTGAAAAATTTCTAATATAATGCC